ATGTTTTTATGCACTTTAAACATTGCCACATATGTGAAATTTGTGATTTGTTGCTAAAATTTAAGTTTAATCTTTATGTCTCCTAATATATAATATATACTCCTTTCTGTAATAAATTACTAAAGAGGAAATTGATGAAACAAGAATTGTAAGTATTCATCTCATTCAATTCAATCTTATTCAATCAAAAACATTTTTACAACTCTGGTTGTATTCATAAAATTAATTCTCACTCTAGAAAATAAAAATAATTTTCGTTATTAACTAACAATTCTAAAAAAATGAATTTATACTCATTTTAATTAATAATCAAAATTTTATTCTAGATAATGATTAATTTTTCATAATTTAAAATAATATCTTAAATATTGCACACCACAAACCAACGCTTTAATTAAACAATTTAAATTATAATTATGTTAAAGCTTTTATAACTCAAACTTCTATAATCCGAATTTTCTATAACTCGAACTAAAAAGTGTGCAATAGGGTTTTAAAGGTAAAATAACATAATTCTGCGTCCATAACTCCAGTTTCTCTATAACTGGAAAAAAAATATTGTGACGTGCCAATAGAAATATGGGAAAGTTCATTCTATTCGAATTTTTATTTTAAGTATGAATCCAATTTGGTGTTAGAGAAAGTCCTTTTTTCAAAAACAAATGTTTAATTTTTTGTTTCTTATGTTGCTTCTTTACGCAAATGCATAGAATTGGCATTCCTTCCACCGAATATGACCTCTGAATTGCAACTACTTGATCAGGGAGTAATTCAAAATGTAAAGTGTAACTATCGCAACAGAATCGTAAAAGAAGCACTAAATTGTATAGAAGCAAACAAAAAGAAGGATATTACATTTATGGATTACACAAATCATGTAACAAAAGCTTGGGATATTAATGTAAGTAGTCAAACGATAGCGCACTACTTTAAAAAAGCTGAATTTTGCGAATTTTCTACATGGGACGTAGAGGACGACATTCTTTTAGTTTTCATGAATAACATTTATGAAGATCGTGAATTGATCTTAAAGTGAAGTAAAAATAAATAAATAAAAGAACTTTCAATGTTACTCAACGATTATATTGAGCTTGATAATGAAATTTGTACATCACGCTTTCCTACAGATAACGATATTATTGAGTATTATATCCCTGACCCAATTCTAAACGCAATGAAAAATGAAAATTAGTGTTCAGTGGATGAAATTGTTTATCAGCCTTACAAGAATGGAATAGAAGACTTGTTCAAAATTCTGAATTTTTATTTGCAAACGAATGATACTACAACTGATAATCACTATAACCCTTTGAATAAATTAAAATATACTTTTACTGAAAATAAAAAAGATTAAAATTCCACTATAACTTCTGTGCTGTATTTCAAATAAATAAACAAATATCTTAAAATGTAATTCTAGTTTCTTTCAAAAATAAAAAAAAATAAAAAAAATTCTCTAACTCTCTAAGTCTCCATAAGTCGAACCTTTTCTTTGCAAAATGGTACTTCGAATCATGAAAGTTTGACTGTATTTCACTTTTTTTGTTTAATAAGTTTAAAGAAAATCAATGTAACTTTAACATTATAAATTCACAAACATTTCTCATTCTAAATGAATAAACTTCTGAATAGATTTTTCCATGTTGACTATAAGAATATAGATATAATATATAGGCAGCTCTAAATAATAATAATGATAAACTAATTATATTTTTAAAATTTAATATGATAAATTTGATAAAATCAATGATGATATAAAAATTTAAATTTTCTAATTTTTCAATGAAATAAAAAAATTCTAAATAATGAAGGCAAAGACATAAAGTATAAAATAATAATTAAATTCCAGTCTGTAAACTTTATAAGGCAAAAAACTTTATTCTGGGAAATGTTTAAATCGAAAAAATTAATATAAAAATTACATTAATTATAAGTAAATTGTTATAATTTTTAAATGTATTAATTTTTTCTCTTTAGTTGATATAAGTGTACATTCTTAAAATCTCAACAAATTTAATCAGTAAGAAATTATATAACATTCTTAAAGTAAGAAATATATATTAAAAAATTTCTAGAAATATTTTATAAAATTAAATAAAAAAAATAATATCTTTTAAACTATTTAAAATACATTATTAAAATAAATAATATTTTTTAAATATATTATTAAAAAAACAAATAAGGGACCAAAACGCCAACGAAACAGAATAGATTTAAACATAAAATTCTAAAGCATTGCATATTATTATGATTTATATGATATTATGAAGTATTGAAACTAAGATAAGAATACCTAATGTCCCTTCGCAAACTTTTAAAGTTGAATATATTATAAAAAAATAATTTTTGTAATGAAATCCATTCATATAACCATATATAAAAAAATAAATTCTTTACACAATAAATTCTAAACTTAATAATATAGATTGTAAATGTTTTCGATTAAAATAATACTCTAATTAATGGTATTAAATAACATATTAAGAAATAAAAAGTTAATTAATTATCATTATTTAAGTTTTAATAGTTTAACAAAAACATTCCCAAATATGCATAAACAAAACGTTCTTGTCTTTTTCTGTTGTGACTTATTCAAAATTAAAATCAACACCGCTTTTGAAATCATTAATTTATTATTATCATATGTATGTTTATATTCTCTTTGATTCATACTTCCTCACTTATGCCGCTCTGCGAATTTGAGTATAAAATTGAGCCTAAAAAGGGTCTACCAGTAGAACCGCAGTGTGATCAACGAATTCGTTCCTGATGTACTATTTATTAACAACTATGTTCCTGTATATTAAAATCTCATTGCCTATAATCTGCATTGATAATTTAGCTGCTTTTTAAGAGTATAGAAGAAAATGTATAATAAATTAAGTTACAATTTAAACTCAAATACTTGAAATTGAGCAATTTATCAGCGCCAAAGACCGTAATATTACGGTCTTAAGCAGTGTCATCACGGTTGCCACTTATGGTACTTTAGTACCAAAATTGGTACTTTTTTTTCGTTTTTTCGTTTTTTCGTTTTTGGTACTCATGTTTAAAAAATGGTGCATTTTTGACGACCCAACTTTATTGTGGATATTTCCAAATAAGTTTTTTTATAAATCAACTTTGCACTATTTCATATTTTGTTCATTTATAACACTATGAAAAACACAGAAAAAAAAATAAAAAGATCCAAAAAAATTTTGGACCTTTTTTTACAGAAATGGTACCTTTTTAAACCAATTTTGGTACAGGAAAAAATTTTCAAGTGGCAACCGTGAGTGTCATATAATCTGTTGAATTAAGTTCCACAAAACTTACGAAGTACTGTCAAACTTTCAATTGACAATACTTTATATATCGTCTTTAAATACAAGTTTTTTTTGAATATTGTGTCAATATTATTTATTACAAACAAGTTTTTGTCAGAGTCAGCATTTATTAGTATCTGGTTTCAGCAGTACGGAAGTTGAAGTTTAAGGATATACAAGCTTACATTTAAATAAAAATGTGAACTTATTTTAGATTTTTATTAAAAGTTTTTATATTTCCAACTTCAGTATTATGCTAAGAAAATATTTTACTTTTAAATATATAATATTTTTATTGTTAAAAAGAATTCCATTCGAGCTATTAAATTATTATTTGTATTTCAACAAACTGTTGCATATTATTTATTTATACTTTTTACGTTTCTAGAAAGTACTGCGAATATTTAAAAAAGACACATGCGTGTGGATATATGTATATAACGCAGTACACACCTTTTCTTGTCGATTCATGACTTAATTCCGTAATTTCTCAAATTTTAATCATTTTGTTTTATCAATTTTTTATCAAATAATTAAGTTATTAACCTTCTATACTCCATAATGCTGTGAACAAATATGGTTAAATCCTACATTTTTTTAATTTTTAAAGTCAACTTCATTGAGTTCACAGTTTTGTATTTCAGTTTAGGTTTTTAGTTGTATTTTTTTTTAAGTTTATGTTTTACTATGAAACTGAATGATTTACTTTGCGCCTGTGTCTACAAAAAGACAGCGGTAAAAAATATGAAAAAATCTTTCACTTTTAAGTATTATGTACATTTCAGCATAAAATTATTTAGACGGATATATTGACAAAGTCAGGATATATTCTTAAGCTAGCACTTGTTAAAGAAAATGGAAACTGCTTGTATATTTGTTATATATGTTCTTTAATTTTAGTAAAATTTCAAATGCCGTCTCTTATAAAATCAGTGTAAAGAGTTTCACTTAAATTCCGGTGGTCGTTGCTTCAAGTCCGTGTTTTAATGTAAACTGAATTATAAAATCCTTCACACTATTGAAATGGAATTTCACTACAGGAAGTACAGCTCTCTTCGTGCTCACTCATTAAAATGTAAAAATGTGATTTGTATAGAAAATGGTTGAGACAGTTTTGCATTTGCATTTTATTTAGAACTTTCATGGAGATGTGTTAGAACATCTTATTCAATGTACTTGCGTACATTGAAATTGCATGCGCGCGCAAATGTAACATTGAGAGTAAGGACTTTACCAAAGTATAAAATGAGTTAACTGAGAGCAGCAATGGGATAAAATTATTACATCAAGGTTGAGTTTTTGTTCCTCTTGTCTGTAGCTCTGTTGAAAGTGATTATTCCAAAACAAAGTAACAAAATGCTTTCAGGTAATGCTTTCTCACTCAGCAAAAATTTATCGTATTTGTTTCAAAAAATCGATTGAATTCAAAATTGATGAATATTGACAAAAGTTAAACATTTAATTATTGATAAAAGTGGTTATTTTAGAATATAAAACCACTTTATGATTAAAATTACATTTATTAACGAAAGTTGAATACAGGCAGAGTAATTTCAGTATATTAAGATCATTATTATAAATCAGAAAAATTAATTATTATTATTTTCACTATTACTTTTTAATTTAATTACATGCATTATTTTAAATTATTCTATTACTTTATCAATAAAATTAACTAAAAAGAAAATAAAGTTAACTAAATGAGAGAAATTTAATTTGTAATAAGCTAGTTTTAATCTTACCAGTTTGTGTGCTAGAATCGAAAAATGTGCTAGTGGTCTCCACAGTCATCGTGCCTATGGTGCCGTCAATGATTTGTGCCGACGAGTCTCTGCGTCCTCTATAACTAAAATATAGTTCACATTTATTGAAAATGTTGAAAATTTTTGGGCATATGTATATAAAGTGTGACAAGACTAAGAAGAACTAAGTTACCATTTAATATGACTTACCGACAAACATCGTCACTTTGCGAACTCTGACGTCGAAAATTGCGGCAACGAATCATTTCTTCCGTTGTTGATTGTCGTCTGAAACCACGTGCAATTAAAATTTCTTCCGTTGTAGATTGTCGGCGTATCGCAGGACGTGCAACTGACTCAGTTGTTGCCAATTGTGGTGCTCTGGAACAAGGACTGTGGTCACGTGAAGAGCAGCAACTATTTGAGTCTGGTGACCGTGAGCTTCGAGCTGCGGATGAACTTTGACGTCTTAACGTATATCTACGTGGACTACCATCCCTATCATGATTGCGATCGGGTGACAAATGCGTACGTGAATCACGTCGTCCGGTACGTGATGCACTATCAGGACTGAGAGAGTCGCGCCTTGATGTTCGTCTTTCGCAATCTTCTGGTGGATCAGGGCTAAGTGCTGGCTGTGATCCACGTCGGCTGCTACCTGGTAGGCAGCTTTCATCAAAAGCAGTCGCTTGTCGTTGCAGGCGCTGTATCCTTGGTGTACGTTCAGGTGAAATACACGTTTTTGAGTCGCGACGATTAACACGCCCACATTGAGTAGTTGAGTCCCGTCTGCTCTTAGAAGTAGTAGGGCTTGTTGCAGGCGGCGTAACAGAACTTGTTATAATTGTTGGTGGTGGTAGTGCTTGACATGCTGAGTCGACCTGAACAAAGTTTGCACTAGATATTATTGGAACTATATCGGAACCTGCTGAGCTGGCGGAAGGACGTTGCTCCTGATGGAAATTGGGAAAGTCAGGTGCAGCCAAAGAATCACGTTTTTTTTGGCTACTAACTATTTTTGGTGGTGGTGGAGGTGGGGTTGTTGCAAATACAATACTACTGTCGCGTCGGACAGAAAGATAGCTTTCACTTGAACCTCGACGGGAAGTCTAAAATATCACATACAGCAGTTGATTAAAATACATTTACTGATTGGAAATTCAGAATAAAAGTATGCCATAAAATAGTTATATTATTAATTATTATTTATTTAAACCTACGCTTTTTTGTATATTCTCAACAGCAACAGGAACAAAAACTGCTGGTTCTTCAATTGCACTCTCTCGTCTATTCCAGTGTTTAACAAATTCTGCAGTATTTGAATCACGACGTGTTCGCATACTGCGTATTCCTGAATCAGCACTTGACTCTCGCCTTTTGCGTGGCGCAATATAATTTGTTCCGGAATTTGTGGCAGCATCAGTGGTCGGAGTTCGCCATGGAAGACTGCGTGCTAAATCTGCAAGTGTTTCTCGACGATTAAGAGGCGCTTTAGTGTTTCTCTGAACTGTTTGCTGTTTTGCACCACCACCACTCCATTCTCGTAAAATGTCAGTCAATTGTGCTAGAGAACTTCGACGACGTCGTTGCATACCTGAATCAGAAAATAAATTACAGTTATTGTCTAGTTATTGCTGAAGGTTAATCAAGTCTATTACCTGGTGGGGGTGATGTACTAGGAGGGGTGTTTATTTGTGCTGCCGAATCACGGCGTCCACCTAAACGCTGACGAATTGTTGATTCTTCGAGCTAATTATATATAATCAGTCTTATTGAATTCGTCTCAATTATTAAAAAAAACACTTACTTGTTCTCTGACAAGGTCGTCCCAGCCATTTCCACCCTGCCACACCAATCCGACTTGATGGGACATAATTGGTAAATTGCAGACAAAACATATTGATGTCATAGTCCTGAAAAAGTAAAATAAATTATTTTGCAATAAGTAAAAAATCATCAAATTCATATTGAACATTTCAAACAATATTCCACTACATAAAAAACGAATTTTACAAATTTCAAGTAACATATAATAATTTTTTAGGTGAGTTTTCAAATTCAGGTTAGCATCTGCAATTTCGTTTGTTGTAATAACTCAAGCTAGATTTACAAAAAGCATTAAATATGAAAGATGCAAAGTTGTAAAATAATAATTGTATTGAAGTGTTGTATAAGGGTATTTCCAGTTAATATTTTTATCGATTGAGATTTTTAATGAATCATTTTAAAATAATTTTTTTGTTATGTTTTGAATTAATATGGGTTGAAAATAATTTATTTTCCTAAGGCAAATTAACTAAAATGAATAGTAAATATAGTTTCAATATGGACAAATTAGAATTCTTTACAATGTTTCTGCCGGAAAGGATTTGTTTGATTTGAATCTAACATAAAGTGGAAGTTCGAGACAAATTGAAAAAGAATTGGAGAAGAATTTTAAGCAGAAAGAGTTTCGTAACGAAACACAAAAAAATTTGAAAAAAATAATGAAATCAAATTAAGATCTAAGTGGTTGCAATGAAATTCTAGAAAATGTTTTAAAATAGTCGACAAATACATGCAAACAATCAATCAATTGCATTGCCAAAGGTATAAGCATTCCAAACAGAAGAATTGACTTTATCTTCATTGCCTTCATTCGCAAACTCAAAAAAGTAGTATTCTTCCTTAAAAACAAGTCAGAAAGACAAAACAAAAAAAATGATAAGTATATCATTCCAAAATAAATAAGATTCAAAAAACTCAAAATTTAAAATACACAAAACTCAAAGCAAATATCACAGTTAGCAGGTAATCACAATTCTGATATTCGTCACACCAACATCAATAACAGCGACAGATACTTCAAAAGCAAGAACTTTTGCAAACACAAGATTTCAATATTATGGCAATAATAGCAATAATTGCGAAAGCTCTGTGAATGTCATGAGTATCCAATTTTAATGAGTGATTTATTTTGACGAACTTCAAATCTACTATATATTACTATATATTACTATATAACTATATTTGTTAAAAATTGAAATGGTGGAGACGGCTGAGTTGGTGTAAAAACTTTTAAAACCAGATTGGTATGTAAAAATGATGTTGGAACAGCAAAATTTCGTGAAGTCGTTGCTGATCGGTTCGATGAGAGCAAGAACCTTGAATGACACATAGCCTAATATATTAACACCACCACCATTCCAGACTTTTAATTAAGAGGTTCAATTATGAAACTCGTATCTCTGGATCAACTAACAGACAAACCATTTTAAGCATCACATGCAAACATTGGAAACTGTTTGATGAAACATGAGGCCACTTATAAAGACTGTGTAGCGGAACTCCGTGACCTTGCAAGAAAGATCAACTATATGTGTAACGGAGAAACCTGCAACAACAGTTAACATATGTGGATAAAATGATTAGAGATCAAATAGTTCTGCATACCCCACACGATGCTGTGAGAGCCGCTGCGCTTCGAAAAACTCTGTCGACGTTAGCAGAAGTTTTACTTATTGCTGAGTCGTACGAATTTTAATAAAATAACTAACAAGTTTAAATGGTGTTCGGAATGTTTTGTGTCCCACTCGCGAGGCGAATGTTAGTATAAAAATGCAAGCTGTATGAAAGTGATGTGCTCTATGAAAGTGGTAAAAGTTTTGTAAAATTAAAATTTTTAAATAACGTAACTCAGTTTAAAATAGATTCAGGTGCGTCGGTTTCTATTATAACAAAATTCACGCTCATATACACTCACATTCAACTTATTAACACTAATCATAACCGATGTGGATTTAGTGAGAAATAAATTCCAATATTAGGACAAATTAATGTGAACGTGACATGTGGACAAATAGAAAAAAATGCTTTTCTTATCGTTGTGGATGTCAACAGCAAAAACAATTTATTCGAGGTTGGTTTTTTTAAACCTTTTGGATTTGAAATTTATCAAAATGGGACAATAGTAAAATTAAAAAACGAAATAATTAAAAATTATTCTGAATTGTTTAAGCCTGCATTACGAACTATTAAAGATTTTAAAGAATCAATAAAGTTCAAACAAAAGGATATACCAAAATTTTTTTGGTACTTTTTCAGTACCAACGTCTTCCGTACGGTATTGCTAGTGCGCTTGCAATTTTGCAAAGGTACTTCGAGCAATTATTAAAAAATCAAGAAGGCTGTGCAAATGTTTTTGATGATATTATTATAACCGCTTCTAGTATCGATAAACATATCAAACGTGTAAGAAATGTATTAATAATTTTAAAAGAAAATGGAATTCGGTGTAAAAAAGAAAAGTGTTTATTTTTACAAGAAAAATTTGTGTATATGGAACGTCAAATAACAGCTTCAACGTCCTAGCTCTCTGAAAAGCTCACTGAGGTAGCATATGCAGATCGGCTCTACTCTTTGGGTGGTAACCCATAATGGCATACAAACTAAACTTAATGCCTTAGCTAGTACAGCGTTAGTAATCGGCCTAAAAATTAATATCAACAAAACTAAATGCATGCGAATTAAAACAGATAACCAAATTCCACTTTATGTTGAGGATATACCGATAGAAAATGTTTGTGAATTTGAATACCAAGGTAGTAAGGTTGCAACTCACTCGGATCTGGAGATATCGCACCCTAGCTCAGACCACTAAGATTACAATATTTAACGCCTGTGTTAAATCAGTACTGTTGTATGGTAGTGAAATATGACACTTTACGCGAACATCTATCCAAAAACTGCAAAGCTTCATTTGGTGGCACATTTGGTGGCCGAGAGTGATCTCTAATGTGCGACTATGGCGTGTAACTATGCAGGAATCCTTCGAAATAGAAATTCTACAACAGAAATATAGGTGGATTGTATACACGTTACACAAAAGCACAAATGACGTAGAACATGCGACACTAATCTGGAATCCGAAGGCAGTAGAACCTATGGACGATCAGATATATCGCTCAAAATAGGCAAAATTTAAAAACTGTTGTACAAATTTTTTTTCAATAAGCTAAGTTTATACAATCAAATATTGCATAGAACATGCCATGATAAATAAACAAATAATATTACATCATAATTGGCGATCCTGACATTTTGCATCACTGGTAGACGAAACTAATTATAAACTATAATATACATAAGTACAGTGAAGTGTAGTGGAATCAACAATAAAATGTAGAAGAAACACATAGAAATGAAACTTTGCATACATGTTTTTATTTGGCTATGGATAGTCTAAAATTATATGTAAAGTAAAGTACTGATAACATTCTTTATTTTAATGAAAATTGTTTAGGATATACTAAGCAAACTATTGAAGAAAAACCAAACACTCTAAAATATCTAAAAAGCTCCGTTAATTTAATAAATATTGAGTCCAAACTAGAAATCCACACATAATAACCCAATAAAAGCGAAGGAAATCAATACAACAAATATCAAAGAAACCAAAGAAATCAAAACTATTAGTATAAATAAAGAAATACTAATAATAGGAAAAAAACCACCCGTTCTGTCAATTATTTCTATTTTTTAATTGATAATTTTCTTTAATTGTCATTTTTTAACTTTCTGCTTGTAATGTTTATTTTTCTATTCTAAATTTTTAAATTTTTAATCTTAAATTTAAAAAATTTTTTTTTTTGTATTCTTTAATTTAATTTAATTTTTAATTTAATATTTTTTTAATTCAATCTCTTGCCTTTGCTTTATCATCTAATAATTTGTAAATTGTTATATATTAAGTAAATAATATCTCTTTTTTATCTCTTTTTTGTTAGTTTTTAAGTTAGTTATAAGATGATGCAATGAAAGGGTTTTTTGACCCTTAAAGCATTTAAAATAAAAATAAATATGAACCAAAGATATGTTCGCTTAACAATATCACAGGAAAACTACATTCTACCAGAGAAAAACCAGTAGAGTTCTCCTCTGGTATAATCAAAAATAAAATCTACACATACAACATCAATATATCTAATTACATAAAAGTTAATTGCTAAAATACCAATACTTTTATAAAATTATTAATCCGCGGAGGTGCCGATTTGTTCATAATTAAGAATAAACTCCCATACTACGGTAGTAGTAGTTGGTATTACAGACAACTACAGAACATCCCTAGATATCGCAAACTTGCAAATGCAATTTGGTGAATAAAGAATTAATAATAACAAAGAAGAAACAATTGTCCCCATTTATTACAAAGTAATTGTAATACCGTCTACTCAAACATGACAATCATAGCAATAAAAAGCATAAAATAGAACACAACCATCAACGTCTACAAAAACTTCTTAATAAACTAGAATAAGTCACAAATCAAAAACTCGATGATGAAACACTCATTTCTTAGTATTAGATTATCAACACATATTTTTATTAGAAGGTGAACAAATAACGTTTTCTATACTGAACACATCGCAACTACAGATGATATTCCAATTTACATCAAAAATTACAAATTACCACATAGCCATAACACCGTTATAAAATCTCAACTACAAAAATTACTAGATCACGATATAATTAAATCTTCTACAAGCCCCTAAAACTCTTCAAACTAGTACCGAAGAAGTCAGCTGAAGAAGAGAACAAATGGAGACTTGTGATTGATTATACATAGAAAACTTAACAATAACATAATAAACACTAAATTCTCACTAACACGCCTTTAAGACATACTATATGGTATATGAATAGTTCATTTCACTAAATGTCAATAGACACAAAGTCTCCACAGAAAATTGAGTTTTCAATTACCGGTGGCCATTATGAGTTTAAAATACTTCTATTTGGATTATAAATCAACTTGATCAGTTTTCAACGAATGTTAACACTCGTATTAACAGGCATTATATTATTAGTGAAATATTTCTATATGTTGATGACATATGTTATTGTATTCGGTGACAGCCTAAAAGATCATAATATTAAATTAGCAAAAGTCTTGAAGAAATTAAGTGATTACAACTTAAAACTTTTTCAGGATGTAATTTTAAGTTTAAGTAACTTTTTAAAACATGAAAACAGGTCAAGGACAGGACATGGTCGAGATAGCAAAATATAAAGTTATTTAAGAATACTCTAAACCAATAAGTATAAATGAGGTAAGGAGATACGTTACATTTTACAACTACTGCAGCTTCATTAAAGATTTCGCATCACTTTCATTTTGTATTGGTTTTTGAAAGCATTTCGTTTCTGTTTGTATATTTTTCTTTTTTTTTGATATTTTGATGGTATGAGTACATGATTAATGCATAGTATGTACTTATGAGTTTAATTTTTGTTTAAAATAAAAGTTTTTAAAATAATATTTTATTTTAATAAATTTTATTATTATAATTTCTAATATTTGTATAATTTAGTACAATTATATGTTATACATTAATACAAAACACAAAATTTCTGTATATGATTTCTTTTATTGACATTGAACCAAAAACATAGAAATATATATATATATTATTATATATATATATTTCTATGTTTTTGATTGAACCGTAGATAAAGAAGTTGTGTATATCCATAGCGACCATTTTTATGCTTTTAATTTATTTTGCAGTTTGAAAAGTTATAAAAAAAGAATTTATATGTAAAGAGTAAGGGTATGAGGTGTTATACAAAACAATTATATTGAAAAACAAAGTTAACAAATATAATAAGATGCTTTTATATAAAAATTTAGTTGAAAATCTGTCATTATTATTTAATTTTAAAATATTATATTATATTAAAACTAGCTGACCCGGCGAACGCTGTTCAGTTGAGTTATAATATTTGTGTTGTTATTCAACTTAACCTTTAGCATTTTAATGCGAAAATTATTTTGAATTGATTTTTTCTTTTGAACTGCAAAAAGTTCACATGCATTACTTATTTACAAATATTTTCATGTTACTTCAAATCCTTATAAGCACTACATTTTAAATAAAAAAGGTTTTTTTAATATTATATTAAGAGTTATATTATGAGCTATTATGTTATCTTAAAGCTAAATCATGAACAATATTTTTTGTTAAGCCATTTTGACCGTATATATATAGATCAGACGGTTTTCCAACACGGGAACATGCACATACTTTTAATGTTTGTCTTTGAGATTTATTAATTGTCATCACAAATGCTAAACGAATTGGAAATTGCAATCGTTTGAATTGAATTGGAACATTGGTTGGTATAATTGGTATGCGTGGAAGCAATATATTTTCTCCTCTGAATTTTCCACTTAATATTGTTGATTCAATTAAGTTCCCCATAATTCTTTTAATTACTAATCTTGTTCCATTACATAATTTTGGTGGGTTTAGATTGCGTAATAAAATGATTGGTGAACCAACTTTTAAAAGTAAATTGTGTGGTGGTAGTCCTGGCATATCAACCGAATTCAAGAACTCAGTGGGATAATTAAAGACAATCTCGTTTTCATCTACCACTGTGTCGATGGATTTTAACGAAATTAAATTACCAGGTAGCATAGCTTGAATTTTGGAATTGATTTCATCGACATCTAAGTTCTTGGCAGCCAGAATCGCTCTACTTTGAAACCACTGATGGTTCTGATAATTTTGATATATGTGAGGAAATACGCTTTCTATTAATTCCTCTTTCGAATTAACTATTTTACAAAAATTTTCTGGCAATTTAATAAAGTGGGTATTTTCATAAAGACTTACGTTTCCATCACCAATATCCAGCAATTGTTTGGCAGTTCTGCAGCTAAATCTCTCTGTAGTCCAACACGCAAGTTTTCGGTATGTCGCAATATATGGACACTTCGCCACAAAATAGATGATTTAAGGCAAGCATTGATTTCATCAGCATAGGTTGAACGTGAAATAACTGGCAATGTTTGTCTAAAATCACCTACCAATAAAATTAAAGCGCCTCCAAAAAGTCTATCGTTGGCACTTAAATCTATAAGTGTTCGATTTAATGCTTCCAATGAATACTTATGTGCCATTGTGCATTCATCGCAAGCAATGATGTGACATTTTTGAAGTACTTTAGCCATATTGGAATGTTTCTTTATATTGCATACTGCATTTTCACATGAATGTATGTTTAGTGGCAACTTTAGTTCCGAATGGGCTGTTCTACCACCATCTAACAATGTCGCAGCGATTCCAGATGATGAAAGTGCTAAAGCGATATTACCTTGCATCCTAACCTTTGCAAGAATGACTGAAATTAAGAAAGTTTTTCCAGTTCCACCTGGTGCATCCAAGAAAAAAAAAGCCGCCTTCTTTTGCCGGAATGGCGTTCAAAACCCGATCATAAATAAGCTTTTGTTGGTGCGTTAAGATTTGTTCGTTTCTTGTAACAAATTCAACCAAATCTTCAGAGCTGTACTGAAGTTCGCGCTACATATCATTGTTAAATAGATCGGTTGCCAAACGATTTGGCGAATACAATCCTAATAATTTAAGTGGTTGATTTGATATAAGTAAACATAAGTCTTCGATCATAATCAAAGCTATGTTATAAATTTCACGATTGAATTGAATATTTGAGTCATGATTTGTTGTTCTATGTCTATTTAGTATATCTTCACTCATTGAGCATTTATATTTTTCCCACAATTCTTTGAGATTATTTGGAAAACATGTTGTCAACCATATGGCGAATAATTGACGAATTTGATTTGGAAAAGAACTTAATACTGCATCCCGGAGCGTGATGTCCCAATGATTATCGTTTTCCAGCAATTGCAATTCTCCACATGCATCATGATATGTATTGTATAGCTGACCATTGACAGTTCTCAAATACTCATACGATGTTGGACCGCGTACATTTATCAAAAGTAGTCTTAAAAAAAACACTCTCGTTGTTTTGGATGAACAGTATATAAACGACCCAGTGTGTTTGCTGAAAATAATCCTGGATAACAATTGACTGCAACACGTCGTTTACGTGGCTGCCACTTTGTTAAAGTTTTGTTCCATGTGAAATATGTTGGAACTTCCGAATAAAGTAAAGTTCTTGCGTATTGCCCAAAAATGTTTTGTTGTTTATTCAATTCAAATAACTCGGTTAATGCCCTTTCTATTGCATTTTGCTCATTGAAATAATCACGTTGACCATTTTCAAGATGTATACTTAAATGTATTACAGCTGGATCTCGTTCGTGTATTTGAAAACCAAAAATTCGCCATATGGCTTCGTTACTGCTGATATATCTGCCCATTTGGTAGCGTGTTATTTCATCATTTTCGTTTATATTTTGAACAGCAAATACTGCCATATCACTACCTTTATGAACATATTTGCAAATGTATTTTATTGATTTTACGGAGCTACATAATTCTACATTGATATGCGCTTTAAATATCTTGGATAACAATGGCGAATATAGCAATACCCATCTATTGTCTACTTCAACTTCATATTTCTCAACTTTAGTGAAAAGGATTGGCCTCCATTTTCCGAATTTCTTCGACGATATATAGGATAGCCATCAATTCCAGTTATCGTATCTCTAACAAAATCTTTTCGAAATCCTTGTGTGCAGTTACTATTTTCCATGCAAAGTGACGTCATATTTAAATTTCCACATGGACCATGTATCATATTTTTTGTCACAATTTCAAATAGCTCTTTGTCAACATTTGGATCTGGAATTTCTGCAAAAACTATTTTATCAATTTCTTCAGGTCTGATTTTTTCAACACACCAAATTAAAATATGAGCATGTGGCAAACCTCTTTTTTGCCACTCAATAGAATACATCCAGCTACGCGTTTCTCCAAATACAGAGTGTTTTACAATTAAATCAATCAAAGAATTTAATTTTTGTTTAAACACCCGTGCGGTAATATCGGGACGATGAATCGGCGTTTGTTCAGGTAATAACAATTTTTTTATTTCATCCCATTGCGGATTACATGTATATGTTATAAATAAATCTGGTCGACCATATGCACGCACGTACGTCATTGCATCTTGGATGTATTCTTGCATATGACGTGAGCTGCCAGTATATGAAGATGGAAGTATGAACACATTACCAATATTATTAAGGTTCAAATTCCCATCTATATTATTATTAACAGCATCGTGTAGATGTATACACTCTTCTGCACGCAAGTTTGTTTGGTTGAATCGAATGTATCGCAATCGTTCGCTTTTAATTTTCGCGTACATATCGACTACGTATTGATGAAATAATTGACGGCACTTTAAAATGTGATTATCTTCATGGTTTCGGATCATCAAACGATAGGAGTAATAGAGTTCATTGCACTAACATTTTTGTTTGTTTCTTCACCTGAAAATAATTTATTAAATAGTTACTAAACGGAAATCTATTCAATCAGTTACAAAACTACACACCAGTTAATGGATTTCGTTGTTTAATATTGATTTGATATCCATCTTCTCCCTCCCAAAATATTAGGGGATATTGCAATGCATCATATGAACGATGAGTATCTTCAATTGTTTGCCATGTTTTATCTCTACGCATAATTTTAATGTCTCGTTTTTCAAACTGTTCGCCAACTATTACAACAGCGACTTCATTTATAGTTGGAGCGTTAAATCGTCGTGTATGTTCTCCAACTGGTACTTTGTCGGCTTTGATTATAATCATGTAATTGTCATTTTGTAATCTGTTCGACACTCCTTTGAACAATTTCATTAACTGATTGTACGTTTGTTGCTCCAAATGAGGTCATTTGAAAGCATGAATTAAATTTTCGAATTTTTTTCAAAAATAATTTCGACTCATATGCTATGCCAGCTATTAATGTTTTCAAGGACTCGGGTGGTGGATTCAATGAAAGCAATACCACTTTTCCTGATGCGCAACATATTCCAGGTGTTTCATTTTTAAATTTTAATGCATGACAATATCCACATTCAATATTCATTTCGCCAACTATAATTTTGGGATGTGCTGAATAATCTATTACTGGATCATATTCAAATGCTAGACGATTGAACGATGATCTTGTCAATGCACGTTGTTTTTGAATGCGCTCTCGATTTTGTTGCCTATTATGTCAGTTACGTGTTGACGCGTTCGTCTATGTCGTGATATATGCCCATTTAACCGTTGATTTCTTTGGTTCAGAGTTTCATTTAAACGCAACTGCACCATCCGTTCCCTATCAGTGTCATTGTTTCGCAAATGTTCCTCAGAACTTCTGGTTTCTCGTCTTAATCGCATAGTTTGACTTCTATGTGTGTATTTAGAAAGATTTGTTTTCGCTTTAAATCTTGGCATTTTTTCTTTAAGCAAAGCTACAATTAATAAGAATAATATCTTTTTCCTCTATTCTAATTAAGCAAATGTATATATATCCAGTTTAATTTTTCAAATATATTGAAATCTTTAAGTTAATGTAATAAATTTGTTTTATCTGAAAAAACAACATAAATAGTATTGGTGGTATATTAAAAATATTATATACTAAAACTACGCATCATCATGTGTCCATCATCATTTACAACTGTTCGCAAGCAGTTAAATTTGTAAATCCACAATTCATAAAATATTTTGGATTTAAAGAAAAAGTTTTTTAACTTTGTTAAAGTAAAAATATTAATAAATTATGAAGTCACACAATTTTATAACTTATCTGCGCAATGCCTAACGTTAGTATTTAATGTTCTTGGCGGTATATAGAAGATTTAACAATTGCATACTTACAATTGCTGTAGATTAATTGCACTTCATTCAATAATTTTTAATTTTCACAATGTTTATGATATTTTTTTTTTATCGTTTTCACAAATAGCTATTAAATAAAGCGTCTAATAAATACCGCCTATTTTCTCTTTAAGATGCAGATCAGTAAATTTTTAAATGTTTTTCGTATACTTTCGTATATTATAAATATGATCTGAGAGTATCATGAAGATTAGTTAAGTCACTAAAAAGTTATTAAGTAACGAACAGACGAACAAACGATTTTATATATGTATAGAAGATATAGATAGATAGATAACAGCAATTTACTAAACCGTTTTAATTTAAGTATGCAAAATTAAATTACAAACTAATCAAATACAATTTAATGCAATTAATTTATTTGCAAGCTTCTAAATGCTTCATTTTAAATAAATATATAATAAAAAATTGATGAAATTAAATATCATATGAAATTATTTCTTTCAAATACATAATGAAATATATAATTTCATTTAAATTAAACATTATTACGTAACATAAATGCATATATTAAAAAAAAATATTTTTACTAATTTTCAGTTTATTTCATTAACATTTAGAATTTCAATTTTATCTGTCATTTCTGCTACTTCGCAAAAGTTCGAACAATATACACAAAACAAAACAAAAACAAACAAAAAGAAACTCAGTATCATTCAAACTGTCGGACAGTTTGAAACGGAAATTATTAAATTTATTATTTAAGGTAAAATTATAACTAATATCGATTGTTTTAATAGCCTATGTAACGCCGAAAAATATATAAATATGATCTAAGAGTATCAAGAAGATTAGTTAAATCATTAAAAAGTTATTGAGTAACGAACAGCCGAACAAACGATTTTATATATGTATAGATATTGTTAACTTGTCGCTGTGTATTATCCTAATACAAAAGAAACCTACGCATACAAAATTACCTTAAAACTGAATTAAGTAATTTTACTATCAACGTTAAAATAATATGTTGTTTGTTATCACTAATTTTAATTTAATTTTTAATTACATTTCAAACAAGGTTCAAAAAACGACGAAAGTCCAGTCACTTGTGATTTTTTCTACTATAGTCTTTAGAAATATATTTTTATTATCATAATTAGATACGGATAATTAGATATTTAAAAATTAAACAATGTAAGCTATTATAGGATATTTTTTACCCATGTTTTTTCTTGGTTCATAATTCGGAGAATTTGAACGATAACAGACTTATAATAATAATAAAATAAGTATAATAATAATAAAATAAAAAATAATTATAATAAATAAGTGTTCATGCTTAAACAATAATTCACATAAAATATTTATTTTAAATGTATTATAAATTTTTTTTAGAAACTGAACTCTTTAATTCACAATTTAAAAGTATTGTCCGGTAATATATCCCTTTAATTATTGCAACTAAATTTATTTCAAAAACAGCAATAATATTTGCTTAAACTAATTTTCTATTTCTATTTTTTAAAACTATTTTTATTTATTTATTAACTATTTCTTTCATTTTACGCATTTTGTCTTTTATTAATATACATAAGAAACTTTTCTTTTGTGTAAAGCAATCATTTACAAAATTTGCAGAGTGAATTAATCGTTTGCAATTTTTTTGTAAAGTTTTGTAGTTTACTTTTGCAAAGCGCAAAGTAAAAAGTATTGGTGCAACAGAAAGTGTAAAGAAACCAGTTTTTTGTCAAATATTTCACTTTTCTTTTAATACTTTACTTTTCATTGAAAAGTACATTGGTGCAACACTTTGCATTTTTTGAGTGTTTTCAAAACTTTGCATAACTTAATTCTCAAATTAATGCTTTATGCATTAACAGGGCCCAGGGCCCTGTTGCACCAACACTTTTCACTTTGCACTTTGCAAATTTTTATGAGTTTTTGAGCATTTTTCTCTCATTGAGAACATAAAGCATTAATTTGAGAATTGAGTTATGCAAAGTTTTGAAAACACTCAAAAAATGCAAAGCGTTGCACCAAAGTACTTTTCAATGAAAAGTAAAGTATGAAAAGAAAAGTGAAATATTTGACAAAAAACTGCTTTCTTTGCAGTTTCTGTTGCACCAACACTTTTTATTTTGCGCTTTGCAAAAGTAAACTGCAAAACTTTACAAAAAAACTGCAAATGATTAATTCACTTTGCAAATTTTGCAAAGTGATTTCTTTCAATGCGTAAAATGAAAGAAATCATTAATAAATAAATAAAAATAGTTTTAAAAAAATAGAAATTGAAAATTAGTTGAAGCAAATATTATTGCTGTTTTTCAAATAAATTTAGTTGCAATAATTAAAGGGATATATTACCGGACAATAATTTTAAATTGAGAATTAAAGAGTTCAGTTTCTAAAAAAAATTTATAATGCATTTAATATAAATATTTTATGTGAATTATTGTTCAAGCATGATCACTTATTTATTATAATGAACAGTTTATTATTATTATAAGTCTGTTATCGTTCAAATTCCCCGTATTATGAACTAAGAAAAAACATAGGTAAAAAATATCCTATAATAGCTAACATTGTAACATTTTTAAATATCTAATTATCTGTATCTAATTATGATAATAACAATATATTTCTAAAGACAATAGAAGAAAAAATTACAAGTGTCTGGACTTGCGTCGTTTTTTGAACCTTGTTTGAAATGTAATTAAAAATAAAATTAAAATTAGTGATAACAAACAACATATTATTTTAACGTTGATAGTAAAATTAGTTAAGTCAGTTTTAAGGTAATTTTGTATAAATTGAGAGAATTGTTTAAAATAAATCAGTAATTTAGGCCCTTTATGCGTAGGTTTCTTTTGTATTAGGATAATACACAGCGACAAGTAAACAATACTTTAATAACTTATATTTTAAAATTAAATAATAATGACAGATTTTCAACTAAATTTTTATATAAAAGCAACTTATTATATTTGTTAACTTTGTTTTTCAATATAATTGTTGTTAAAACACCTCATACCCATACCCTTTACATATAAATTCCTTTTTTATAACTTTTCAAACTGCAAAATAAATTAAAAGCGTAAAAATGGTCTCTATGGATATACACAACTTCTTTATCTACGATTCAATGTCAATAAAAGAAATCATATACAAAAATTTTGTGTTTTGTATTAATGTATAACATGTAATTGTACTAAAATTATACAAATATTACAAATTGTAATAAAATAAATTATTAAAATAAAATATTATTTTAAAAACTTTTATTTTAAACAAAAATTAAACTTATAGCGGATTTCTGTATTTGAACGTATTTGAAAACACAGAGGCTATATCTAAATTATAAAATTATTTATTGTGTTCAACTTCTTCTTCTTAATCAGAAAACTGAAAACTTCTTCTTCGAATATAATTTTTCCTCTAAATTTTAACAAGTTTTGTGTTGTCAATATTTTAAATTATAATCTAGTTTACTGCGATTACCGATAATATGGACAGCTACATTATTCCCCCT